TCAAAGAACTGTGTGTTCTGAGTTTTTCTGTTGGTCTGATCAGACCTCGAGAAACATTGTATTCCGATTGGTCTAAAAAGCACCTAGATAGTAGATCATCTATTCGTGAAGACGTGTGATCAATTACGTGAATAGCCTCAATGCAACCATTATCTATGGGACATACAGTGATTATTCGGAATAACTACACGGCGTTCTGTGTGAAAAATAGGTATATCTCAAACATCGAATTGAATGGTGGAAAATGGCAATTACTAGTCGACACAACAACATTAAAATAACAAACTGCTCAAGTTTTCATGCCTAGATCTTACCGACTGAATTCAGCATACCTTTTTGCAAGTCTAAACTTGATGATTGATTTATGAAATAAAACCAGATTATTAGTCTAACCGCAAGTCTTAAGCCTAATTGTATGGAGCAGTTTATTACAAAGCATCATGCAATACCATAAATCACAGGCGTAAAAATGTAAATATGCAATGAATAGATAACCATCTTTAAAGCTTAGTTGACATTACTAATTTATAGATTTCTTTTGCTTTTAGTGGAAACTACAGAATATGCAAACGTACCGAGCATTAAGGCCGCCAAAACGTTCTACGAAACATGCAAGAATGCTTCTTCGATTAAAAGCCCGTGGATAAAGTCAAAAGTTGTTGAACTCATAGAAGTGCTGTTCAACGGATGGCTGATGTCATCAGATCACATACAGTACTCCAATATCATGAAAAACATTCTTAGTAGTGAGAGGTTTGACCTGACCGCTTCAATTTTACCACTGGTATTTCAAGATAAAGAAACAATTTTGTTTTCCTTACAACTAATTGAAGGTTATTCAGAAGAAGATCATCCAATAATTATTGTAAGATTTCAAACAATACATGTTTGGTTATTTTTATGCACCTTACATAGATTAGATACTCTGTTTACCTTAGATTACTATCAATTCTGAAATTCACCTGAAAACCAGTAAAATGAATGAACCGGTTATCACGTATATCGGTAAACCTTGAATAGATTTTAAGCAGTCCAGATTTTTCTGTGAGTAATTTCTCATTCAGTCAATCGACAAATTTATATACATTACTGTCATATGTTCAGAAACCTCAGTACATTGTTCAAATGATTTGTCCTGAAGTCCAAGTTGGCGTATTCTCTTGCTGTTCCACAGCTCACTAAAATTTGCTTATAAGGAAAGAATTCACTTCCGTTTATTGGTTGTTTTTGTTACTTAATTTAGTTCATGTCGCTAGACACAGTTGAAAATAAGCACATACGTAATGAACGAAATTACTGAATATCACTAGTACTGTTTCGATTATCTCCAGTCACATCGTGGAATTTTTTAATTTTACTGATTAGTGTGTGACGGGGTCACATGAATATGTGCAGTTAAAGAACGAAATGAGTTTGCTCATATTCAAATTCTGTGAACGTTTCTTCGAAAATGATACCCCATCTTATTTTACAACTGACATCAATTAATTTAACAAATCAGACATGTTCATTCTTTTCATAACTTCCGAATAGAACTGTCATTGCATAACGTACATGAAATGAAATAGTTTGTAAATGAAGAATTGATGATTTCTGACACTAACTTTCATTTTTTGAGACTTTTCAATTTAACTCTTTCTAAAAGTGAACATAACTTTATTCTTTTAGATTACACCAGGATCGCTTGACGCATTTAACAAGGAGAACATAAACATGGTACCATTAAACAAACATACTGATTTAATCATATTTACTGTAGTGATCAACAGAACTTTATTTTCAGAAGGGGTTTTGTGGAGATTGTAGTAATTTCAATGATTAATATCATGAGTCAGTTGAAGCTAGACCACCATGGAAAACCTGTAAGCACTGGACGGCCGTTTCGTCCTATTATGGGACGATGTAGATGTGCGCTCAAGTTCATGGATTAGGTGAAGTTAGACATTAAAACCGTTGGGTGTCGGTCGGCTCAGTAAGTCTTGGGTTCGAATCTCACAGGGGGCGAGGTCGTGGATATGCACTGCTGAGCAGTCCCATAATAGGACGAAACGGCCTTCCAGTGCTTCCAGCTTTTTCATGGTGATCTAGCTTCAACTGACTCATGATTTTAACCATTGGAAGAACTTTATCTAGTCATTTATTTCTAATATCTTGCTAGTTGCGATAATCATCACACAAAATAGTTTATTTTAATTTGACCAACCACATATAAATATACGCCCTTTTAGTTATAGTGATGATAATTATCTAAGTTTCTCTACAGTGTAAAAGAACCGTTTTCACATTGGTGTTGAAAATTCCATTGTTCATGAGTAACAATTTTTTGTATTTCAGGTAGTCTATCAGAGTAGGTTATTTCTGATGACATACGGCCAATGGCGTCGGAGTATCTTGAATAGGCGGTTGTATATATACATACACCTTCTTCTTATAGTTTTGATATTTATCCAAGTTTCTGATCCGTAAAAAAGAACTACTGTGACAACAATGTTGAAAATTTCATCGTTGTTTGTGAGTGACAATTCTTTTGAGTTTAAGGACCACCTCAATTCCAGGAACGTTTTCCTTGTCATGCTATTCCTGTCTCACATATCCAAGGATTTCTTCTCTTTCACAGCTTCGTCATCAGATGTGACTTGGTTGCTTTTCGATGCGTTTCGTTTCACAATCTTGCTTCTTCAATTTTGAGTGGTAAGGTGACTGTATTGATTGCTATCTGTGTGTTGTTTTTGTTCGCTGTGCATATGATAAGAGAAGTGAGTCACCTTCGTCAGTCCAAATCATCAAACTGCATAATCTTTGATGTGGACGTCTTTACAATCCAAACGACAGCTGGCAGAAAGAGAAGAGACAAGTACCGCGAGTCTTGCCTGACACAGCTCCTCACTAGGCACGATTGTGTCTGTTGTTCTCAATACATAAATTTTTAGCCACCTTCTCTCGTTCTCCTCAGTGACGAAGAAGATTCCATCAGGTCCTCATGTACACGCTATCGAATGCCCTCGTAATCAAGGGTGGATTTACACAACCCTTGTAGTAATACCTGTACAAATATCCAATTATTCTCCATGACCATATGTAGTTTGACCACGATCAGGTGATGGCCCAATGATGTAACAGCTCCTTTCTTTCTTCCGACGTCTTCCATAAATATTCTTGTCCTTCTACCTACGGGTATATGTCTGATGTGACTTCACGTCGGTTTGATAGATAGAACCTTCATAGATTGTATGTGAACTTGTAAAAGAGAATACTACCGCATGTAACAATCACCTGCCATTCTCATTCCCTTCATCTAGTTCACTTCATGCTATGAAGCATTCATACATGCTGTTCTCTTTCACGTGCATGGTGTTTATTTTTCACATCAGGATGGTTACTATGGAGATGAGAATAAACAGTTTAGTACATTCTACCAACACTTGAAATCGTTTGATAATTAACCTTCGTTTATTATCCCATTGAGTAAAGTTGAAATTCATTCATTCTTTTTATTGGATCCATATATGATGATATTTAGGTCACGTGTTGTATGATATGAAAAAAATTCTTTATCGTATGCTTTTCACTGTTAATAGTCAGGTCAAATGGATAGCAAAGTTAAAGAACAAATTTTCAAATATTTAGAAAATGTAGGAGCTCTACAAACTAATAAAAATATGATGGACGGTGTTTTCGAATTGTATTCCGAAATTAAAAACGTGAGTCAATCGAGATCGATTTGTTGATGTTTATACAAAGTTGTATTCTCAAACCAATTTTATGGATTATAGTGTTTAATAGAAGGTGAATGAAGGCGTTTTTGAGAATAAAATATATTTGGTCGGTGAAAAACCGTGATATTTGTTCACTAAAATAGAGACTATTATCAACAATCGTAAGATAGAACAAAGGATACGAACATTCCTTGAACAATCGAAAGCACGGGGCTGTCAGATTATTCGATGATACCGATCACGGTTGTACAACATAAATTATAGAATTACATCAATAAAATAATGGAATCATTAGCTGCAGATCGATGAACTAGTGAAAACAAACGAGCATTGAGCATTAGTTTTTATTTAGTTTTGAAACCGTTTACAATTCTTAACCATTTTGTTTGAATTTCTCCAAATATCATGCATACAATAACTGATGTTCTTAATCGTTTGGACCTATTGTCTTAGGTACAGGGAAATACAAAACCTTTTGATGAACCACGTGTCAGAATTGAGGATCTGACAAAACTCTGTTCAGTGGTGAGTTCAGAATGAGACCAATTTTGCAGTAGTATGCTAATTCACTGACATGAAAAGTAATGCGAAGAATTTGATGTTCTTCACTCCAGTTTGCGAATGTACGAATATGGAGATTATACGTTTTTTTCAGGTGTTTGAGATTAAGACGAATTGAAGGTCAGATTGGACTGAACTTTTTGTGCATTACTATCATTAGGTAAAGTATTTTATTAGAAGTCACTTCGATTGCATGAGATATGTGATTGTGTCTATCGTTTGAACGAGATAAAACACAATAGAAGATCGACAGAATCAAGGATAAAACGCTTCCTCTAAGTTTGGCTCATGGAATTAGTTGACATATGCTGGTGAAATCCATTGAATATTATGCAGTTAGTGAATGAAGGCACAGCCGTGATAACTTATCCATTGTTTAACGCAAAATTCCCTCTCATAAATTGTTCAAACCATCTATTGAATACTTCACTTTTATCAATTATCCTTTATATCCTTTATGTTTCTTCCATTTCTTAATTCTTTTATGTTTTTCTTCTTGTTTTCTCAAGTGAAATCTTTTAAAACTTTTTATGACAGGCATTTGACTTCTGACTGATATTACACACTACTTAGGTCAACAGACAAAAGTAGCATACACCACAGTATACCGTCTATGTATCTGTCTGTGTCAGACAATATGATAACAGTGAAATATTGTGTCAATGTGTGAAAATATATCTCCTTAAATTTGTAAATCAAATTCAAATTGTTTATTTTGACCAGATCGATTGGAATGTTCTATTCAAAAATGTATTCGTGCATGTTTCGTATAATACATTAGAAGTTATTGTTGAAGATAAAATCACCTTGAAGAAAACATGTGAAATACTCAGTTTAAAACTGAATACAGAAGATGGAAGAAAGTAATTATTGTGAAAATCAAATTATATGCTCTCATGAATAAGTTGCTATGCAACCTATTGTGTTATCACATTCTATCTGTATTCTGTTTGTTTCTCATTTATGTACACAACTTTCAAAGTAATTTAATAGAAAATAGTGTATAACGTATAAGAATCTAAGTGATTGATCTATGTTTATTGTAAGAGGTATTGTTTAATGTAGACTGATTCATTCACATTTATTTCTGTAAATCAAGATTATAACCTGATGGAATTACAGTGTTTATATATAAACCTAAAGCATCGAAAAGAATAAATAATTATTATTATTAAGCTTTATTCAACATTATATTTTTGGTACAATATTGAATTCTCAGCATAAAGTATTTCAACAAGTTTCCTTTTGTTAAATCTTGATCGATCCTGACGATAAATATTGAGTGATGGCCAGTTAGATGTTAGGAGTTCAATAATCACATCTGACTAATGTTCATTCGTTTCAATGCATATTGCAAGCCACCATGATGTCGCTGGCTGTACCTTTTTGTAATCCGTACAGCGAAAGATTGTAAACATTTCATAAACGCGCCTAAATAGGTTGTGAGCTCAATAAACATAATAGTGTGTTAAAACAAACACGAAAACAGATAACTTGACGAAATATCTAGATGGGAGGAACAGGTAGCCCAGATATTCTTATTTTTCAAAAAATAAAATGATATTTCGATATACCTTTTTCTACACATTAATCATTGTTTTCATATCCAATTTTCATGTTGATTGTAGGTATATAATTATCTATAAAATCATTATAATCTGTAACTATCGGTTATTTTATAGAGTTCAGAATGAATAAATTATGTTGAAAATGATAAGATTTTTATATCAGCTGGTTAAAATCACCTTGATCATTGTATGTCTAGTGAGTATACAAATGACTATTACGTGAGTTGGTTTGTTATCAAAAGAATAAAACAAAAAATTTTGGATAAGAAACTATAAGAAGAGTGTTTTTTGTGTGTTTGTTTCAAACTGTTTCTATCGAATAAAACCTAAATGTTGAAATGTTTCTATATCGACCTATAGAAATGATGAATACTATCAATTTTAAATGAAATACTATTTGTATATTATGATTGAAGTATGTGATTTTGTAATGTCTTTTACAGAAATATACACAATATGATAGTGATAGATTTCTTGTATAAAATGAGACGTTATTTAAAAGAATATTTTGAAGACTTTTATCCCTTAGGTTCAGGTAGGTACTATTGCTAGTTACATTAAAATAATTATTTATGAACCTTTTCCAGGTTGATTGCTTTATCTCCAAATAAAGTCATAAAATGGATAGAAGGATGCTTTGTTAAGTAAATGATACGTCCAACAAGATATATGTCGACTTTATTTGAATAGAAGGCGGAGAACAAATCTGAATAAAGTAATTTGGAGAATTGAGCAAGCAACCTGTAAACTAACTTTGCAAATAAATGAGCTTTGTTTACTCACATTTATTGTATATTGTAATTTTTTAAGGCACCAAGTCATGCACCTTAATCAGATTGTTCCTCACTTTTCATGTTTATTAGGTATTTCTGTATGAGTTGGATGAGAGAATCCAGTTCAACTGAAAGTCATGATATTGCTTGTCATTTCATATAGTACCGTTAATTTAAAATATACAAAAACAGTGGAGGAATTATAAACACTATGATCTATATGCTTACTTACTTACATCTGTTGCCCCAATGGAGCATCGGCCGCCGGCTGGAATTCTCCAACTCACTCTTTCTTGGATCTTCCTTTCTAGTTCTATAAAATTTTGGTTCATATTTCTCATGTCTGTCTACGTTTCTTGGCGTAATGTGTTCCTTGGCCTTCAAGATTCCTAATTTATTCACCCACTGGAATCTAGTTTGTTCTCTCCCACAGTAGGTCGTTGCTGATGGTATCCGGCAAACGGATCCAAAGTATTTTGCGTAGACAAATGTTATTAAACACCCACCCCATACAGTAGTACTCCCTTGACATTTGTATTTGAAATTCTGATCTTGATGTTGTTTGACATTTGTTTTGAGTTGCAGATGTTCTTCAGTTGTAAATATGCTGTTCTTGTTTTACCGATCCTCACCTTCACATGTGCATCAGATCCGCCGTGTTCATCGATGGTGCTGCCCAAATATGTGAAGGTTTTTGCTTCTCCCAAATCTCCTTCGTTA